ATCTTGTGCTGCTTATTCTCATGATATACCAGTTAAGGTTGGGATTGAATCTCTTAAGATCTGGAACGAATTAAAGGTGATATACATACATATATATATATATATATATATATATATATATATATATATATATATATATATATAGGCCCAATCACCTGCCATGTGGACCGTTTACTATTATATGATTTTAATAGATGCATCTATTGTATGGTCATATATGCGTTTGTTGTCAACTTGCAGCTTGGATTTTGCAAGATTGATTGCTCAAATTATTAGAGCAGAGTCCAGAATATAAATTTATCTTGATAATGCTGGTTTAAATCCAAGTTGGTTTAGCAGAGATTGTATGCCTCCAATTATAGCTAAACCATTGGTTATGAGAATAAAATTACCAAAAGGAAATTTGGTATGAGATGTATTATTTAATATAGAGCAGCACTTGTACGCATCTAGCCAAGTTATGATAAATTCTCCCCGTCACAATTGGTTCAGGGTCAGGAACCAAATAATTTCCATCTTGAAATATAGATGTGTTATATGATTTAATTGTGACACCACAATGCACAAAGATGGGTTCCCAAATAAGGTTGAGAAATGTGTTGGTGATCCTAACATTAGGGGGAGAAAATGGGCAGCTGAAACAGTGATACGTGGAATGAATTATTATGAATACATCTAGATCCTCGTACAAGAAAATGTGAACTTACGTGAACTTGAAGTTCAAGTGATAATTCATTTCTAAAATATTGCCAGGAGCATTTGCTGACCCAAGGCTAAATGTCATATTTCAGTTGTTCATGCACCAAAATAGAATAAAGTCCATGATGGACAGAGTTTATGACACGCATGAAGCGTAATAGACTAATCGGTTCCAAAGATAAAACTCCTTGAAGAGGGAGAGGAGCAAATGTTCAAGATGGTCACAATAAGGAGGCAAGTGCTTTATAAGAGCACCATGACATAACACTTTATAAGACCTCATGGGAGAGGCTCAAGTACCTGAAAATAATGAGATAAAGAGATCTCAATAAGTTATGTCTTTAGTGGGTAATGACGGAACCGATGTAAAATGATCATTACAGATATTGTTTATATAATGTAGAGCCCAATATTATTAATATTGACGAGGATGTTAAGATCAAATCTGTCATGGAATTTGGACAGATAAATGATTGGCCAAATGAAAAATATGCAATGAAAATTGACTTCATCTGAAAAATATGAAGTTGGACGAATAGTCCCAACAACTAAAAGTATAAAGGCTATATGGAGATATTGAAATATGATTAATATTATATTGCAAAAGTAATCCTTGATATAGATTTGTTTATTCTAACAAATATTGTCAAGGTTTTGTTGGTTATACAAATGCAGGGCATAGTTCGTTGTTCAAACAATCTATTTTCATGTGAGGACGTGTGACTTTTCTTTGAAGAGACGATTCCAATAATATTGAAGATGATGATGCTTGCATAGCTCAATTAAAAGAACGATATATTGAAGAAGACAAAATAAAGCACATTTAGCCAAAGTTTCTTTGCAGTGACGATCTTCAATAGAATGATGAAATAGATGTTCAAGAAATTCCTTCAAGTGATAATTTGGCGGAATAATTCACGAAGGCATTGCCGATCTCAATATTAGAGAAGTTGTTATACAAGCTTGGAATTCGGCGTCTCCGAGAAATAAAGTGATATTTTCATCAGGGGGAGGCAAATACGCGCTGTACTCTTTTTTCCTTAGCTAAGGTTTTATCCCACTGGGTTTTCCTGGCAAGGTTTTTAATGAGGCAGCAAGTAATGCGTATTACAAGATATGTGTACTCTTTTTCCTTCACTAAGATTTTTTCCTCCATGGTTTTTTCTTAGTAAGGTTTTAACGAGGCACATTATCTATGGACATCCAAGGGGGAGTGTTATGAAATACATATTTATATGGATGTCCACTAATCAAATATAACTCCCACTACTTTTCTCCATTATGTAGATAACCCCCACTACTTCTCACCATTATTGTTGTAACTCCCTCACCTTCATAACCTACCCATGATCTTCCTCCATGATCTCAAATGCTTAATGGCATACTTATAAAATTCTTTTGGTATACCTCTATGTTGTACTATAAATAGAGGATGAAAACTCATTTTGTAATACACTTGAATACATGGAAGAAATAAGAATCTTTTCTATCTTGCTCCCTACATTCTTGTCTATTTTCTTGTTTTATATTATTACTTTAAGCTAAGTTTTGTTACAGTATCGTAATTGACAAACTTATAAATTCATTATTAATTGATTTGTATCTAATCCAAATCGTAGGGTGATAAGGCAAAAACGAGTCATTTACCCTTTCACTGAATTCCCTCCCTCCCATGCCAAAGTCATGTGTACGAATTTAATGCCAAAGAATTGATTTTAGCACCATGAAATGCGGCGAAATAATCGAAATTTCCTCATAATTAACTAGAGGTCTTAAGTTTAAATCATAAAAATAAAAAAATAAAAAAATCGATAGGAAGCACGTTAGATCTCTATGTGCCTATGTGGATTCGAATTAGCCAAATCAATGAGTTTTTAATACATTTAAATAAAAAAAAATGAAGTAATTAATTTTGAAAAAAAAAAAAGATGTATTTAAATTGTTTCTTCTAGATCTACACTTTTGGAAAATAATTAGTAGTAAGAGCTAAAATACTGCAGACTTTTCTATAGAGTCAAAATTACGAGAAAATTCTAATAAATATGTTTAATTGCTACTAAACATATTTCAAAACAACTGAAAATAAAAACAAAACCAATTAAAAAAAATGAAGATGACTCGAAACTGTTTGGTCATAAAGTCTGATTAGCTTATATACATTAAAAAAAAAAGGAGTTTGTTTAGGAATGCGTAGATAGACTTAATAAATATAAAAAAGGGGAAAGGGGGACAGAATACCGAATAGTGTTGGGTTTGGGTTGAAATAAGCTAACCTAAAAATACACTAGTTAGGTTAAGGTCCTTTAATGTCTTTTTTTTTTTTTGGTTATTTTTAGAGCTCGTCTGGATCGACTTATTTTAAGTGCTTAGCTTTTAAGCCAAAATAATTGTTAAGTCATTGTGTAGTGTTTAAATAAAGTAAAGAAATGCTTTTAAGCACTTGTTTTTAAGCTAAAATGACAAAAACAAATCAAAAGTAGAAAGATAGAATTCCTAACTTATGACTTATATTTAAAAGTCACTTAAAATAAGCCTATCAAACGGGCTCTTAATATTGCCTAATCTCAATGTACATGATTCCTTTGCTAATTATATATTGTGCTTAAGTAGTTTCATGTTTACATTATTTATTTGTAAAATTGTTGTATATTAAGTGCAAAAAAATTTAATACATTACAGCCTAAAATACTTTATTATAGAAAATTTAACTCAAAGTTTTTCAGAACCATTTTATTTTGTAATCCCTGAGTCTTCCTCATTCCATTAACCAATTAATATTTGAATATTTCTCATTGTTAATTTTGTTGGATTTTTTAAAGGGTGTGTATATGAAATAGAAAAAGCACTTTTTCGATTACACCTCCTCACCTCATCCTTTCATTGCCTATAAATACACGGTCATTATTTAAGATTTTTAACTACCGAAATTTCAAAAAGTTTCTGCATATTTCGAAAATTAAATAGAGTATGTATTGTGTTTATTCCGTTATTGTCGAAGTTATATAATTTGAAGTATCGCTATTACATATTAGTTTCTCGCTCTATCTTGGGAGGAATCTAAATACCTTATGCAACAATGAAGGGATTAAATTACTTAACGATACACAAAAAAATTATGGGCTCAAAATTATTTTTGCATTTTCTATTCTAACCTTCGGTTTTCTAATTTTCTGAACACAGTGTACTAACAACTTTAGAAATACTTTATGTACTATGCATACAACTTGCACAAAACATGCAAAAACAAATTCACACGAAGGTATAACATAACATAACATAAAGTTGTATGTTATATTTATCTATGTATGAGACAAAGGCAAGTATGGAGTATTAAGCCAATAAGGGGCCGTTTGGTAAGGTGTATAAGAATAGTACGAAATAAGGTGTATTAGTAATGCAGGGATTAGTAATGCATGAGTTAGTAATGCAAGCATTAGTTATGTAGATATTATTTTTTATCTACTGTTTGGTATGGTGTATTAAAATTATAATGTATTGCATAATTTGTTAAAAATATAGTTGTTTACAAAAATGCCCTCCATAATCTCTAGCTTTAAGGGATTTTAAGGACAATTATGTCTTTAACCATATTAATGCATGCATTTATAGCCTTGGTACTACTAATGGCATGGTTTTCTATGTATTACTTATACATAGGATAATACCAAGTATGATGTATAACTAATATATTAGTTATACACAGGTTGAAAAAATGTACCAAACAATGTATTAGTAATGCATAGAGCTAATGCTACATTATTTTTTCTAATACCTCCTACCAAACGACCCCTAAGTGTTAAGTATACCTACACTCACAATTCTTGTATAATAATATGTAAACATATAAAAATATTTGTAAATATGTGTGAATATATATTCCAAGTAGGAGGTAACTCTAAGATAGAAATCTTTTTGGTAGAAAATACTTTATCAATTTAATGGATCTATTCGAAGTAAATTCATATTAGTTAGGGTAGTGAGTTTCGATCAAATTAATAATTTTTGAAAAAGGGCAAATGAGTTTCGAATAAAAAGGCAGTCCGGTGCACTAAACTCCATGCTATGCGCGGGGTTCGAAAAAAGGCCGGACCACAATAGTACGCAACATTACACTGCATTTCTGCAAAAATCTATTGTTACGGCTCGAACCCGTGACCTCTTAGTCGCAAATGAGTGTAGAATAGCTAGATGGAAAAGATAAATACATTAGATATACAGTAAATAGATAATCAGATAGAGTACATTAGATTACAGTAAATACATAATCAGATACAGCACAGGTACCAAAGTAGTAATACAGGGCTCCATACAGCACACAAATACACACACACACACAGTCCTCCGCCCACTCATTATTAGTATTTCATTTCATTCAATCAAATTTCCCAAAATCCAAAATTTTGCTCACCGAATGTAACGTTACTTCATCCTTCATTCAAGCTAAACACACCTTATCATCATCCCCATATACACTAAACACCAAACCAGCTTTTTTCTCCTTTTCTTTTTACAGATAAGATTTTTCCTTTTCTTTTTCTTTGAATTATCCCATGTGGTTTCTTGTTGATTTTATCTAAAGATCTGATTTTGATCGGCGATTTGGAAACCCATTTTTCTTCCTTCAAATTTGTTGATTTTTGTTCTATTTCACACCGATCCTTTCTGGCTTTTGCTGTTTCTGAGGTAAAGATTTGATTTTTATTTTTATTTTTATATGATTTTCTTGGCTTTTCCCTTTGTGGGTTTCTTGTGTTTCTGTGGAAATGTGCCTAGAATTGCTCAGTTTTTGTTGCTTGTTTGATGATCGGTTGAGTTACATGTGATGTGATGAAGATGATCCATTTGGGTTTCCAAAAGATAAATTTTTTTATTATAGTTTCATTCTATTGGAAATTTTTGTTTGATTGGTTTGATTTTGCTTAAATTTATTCCAATGATGTTGTTTTCCTTTGTAGCTTTTTCTTGATTATATAGTTTAAGCTTTCATTTATGTTGGAATCAAGCCCCTAGGATGTTAATTTTTCTTTTGAAGTATAAAGTTATTAATTTTTTGATGTATATATACTTCCAGTGTCACTTCTTGTTTGGAAATAAAGGAAGATTCGTGAAGCTTTCTAATAAATAGTGAAGTAGATAGATGGGAGATAGAAATATAAAGAGAAACGAACTAATTATAGAAACATAGATGTCACACCCTTATCTGCATAATCTGGTCCTTTTTTAGTATGTAAGAAATATCAATCTTCTTATGTTAGTTAGCTTAAGGTTTTATTGGTAAAAAGTTAAGAACTGTTGGGAATTAATGTAAAGATCATATTTGATACATGGAAACTGTGATTTTCTTAGATGCTGGTGTGTTGAGTGCCTCGTCTTTTTGTTTATTGGTTTCTATTTAAAGTCCACGTTGTTGTTAATACAGGATTCTTGCATTCATTGTTATTGTTGTGTTTACCACCAGATTTTCTAGGCAAGGTGGGTGAACCGAGTTGAGTGTGATTTGCATGGGTGATGATGCCAGAGTTGCGTAGTGGAGCAAGGAGATCAAAACGGCTTGGTGATCTCCAACCTGCCGCCCCTCAACCTGTTGACCAAGAGGAGAACTTGGTTTTGCCGCCTACTCAGAACAGAGGCAGAAGAAGAGGTGGTGGTGGAGGAAGAGGAAGGGGTAATGCTGCAACAGCTGTAGGAAAAGGGCCTTCAGGGACGACACGTGCAAGGCCAAGTGGTGCTGGTAGGGGTAGGGGGATTAGGTTGATAGATTTGGACCCAGAGACGCCGTGTGAGGTTCTTCCTCAAGCTGCTCCTCTTGGGGTTGCCGAGCCAGCGTTTAATAGAGTTGGGGGTGCTGCAGATAAAAATATTGCAATGGATGGTGGTGGAAGTGCAGACAAGATAATGGGAGTCGAAGAAGAATCAAGCGCAACTCCTGTACCTGAGAGGGTATCTTTCTATTTGCTCTTAAGTCTCTTTCCATTTGTGTTCTATTAACTTTTGCCTTGAAAATTCCACCAGCTGCCTAGGAAATACCTTGACATCATTAATGGCATTGTGTAGGCTAAATTTCTGCAACATCGTATATATACTCTTATTGTAAATAGAATTCTTAGAAGAATGCTTTCTATCTTGATGCAGGTGCAAGTGGGTAATTCTCCTGTATATAAAACAGAAAGGAAGTTAGGTAAGGGTGGATTTGGGCAAGTATATGTTGGTCGAAGAACAAGTGGGGGAACTGAGAGAACAGGACCAGATGCTGTTGAGGTACTGCCTATGACATAGTGGATCTTTTACAAGCCTTTCTGACATTATTTGGATTATAATACAGCGATAATGATTCTCACTAGGTTGCATTGAAATTTGAGCATCGAAATAGTAAGGGTTGCAACTATGGCCCTCCTTATGAGTGGCAGGTGTACAAGTAAGTATGAATCCTTATTTCAGAATCTCTTATTTCTTTGTATTTTTCAGTCTTCAGATGTCTTACTTGTTATCCAATTGTGAACGTTTTTTTGCCTTGACAGCACCCTGAATGGATGCTATGGTATCCCATGGGTTCACTATAAGGGTCGTCAGGGAGACTTTTACATCTTGGTAACTTTTGGTTTTCATCTTTTTCTAAAAAGAATTTCTTGTTCTATCACTTTTGTGTTACTGATATTTCCTGGAAATATTTTCAGGTCATGGACATGCTGGGACCTAGCTTGTGGGATGTCTGGAATTCTTTAGGCCAGTCGTAAGTTTCCAACTTTTTCTATTTGCATTGATTTTTCCTGCACATACATAGGAATGCAGAACAAAACAATGTACCACGTATAACTTTTTGTGGGCATGCATATGCTGTAGCCTGTATTTCTCTCTGCTTGATGATTACTAACCTTGCAACAGGATGTCGCCGAATATGGTAGCCTGTATTGCGGTGGAGGCAATATCGATTCTTGAAAAACTGCACCTTAAGGGGTAACTGTTATCTCTCCAGCAATACATATGTTATTTCATCATTTATTCATGATATTTTCCTCTGGCATATCACTTTGCTTGATTGTTCACTTTCAGCTCTCTAAACTCAGAAATGAAGTAGTATCAGTGACCTATTTTTTTCCACATCTAATTCTTTTTCTCACTTTAAGGTTCGTGCATGGAGATGTGAAGCCGGAAAATTTCTTACTTGGTCTGCCAGGAAGTGCTGATGAGAAGAAGCTGTATCTTATTGATCTCGGTTTGGGTATGATGCATTATATTATGATCTTTTCTGTTTATCGCCCTATCTTTTTCTTGGAGTATCCATGTCGTTTTCTTTCTAATTTACTGTAAAGCATCGTTAATCCTGTCAATTTGTTATCACACGTTGAGAAATACCTCTTTTGGATCAATTCTGCTTGTGTGTCTACTACACCTGAAGAATACCATTTCTTTTCGTTTGATGTTAATCTTGAGTACTGTTCTTGATGATATCGATCATTGCTGCAGCATCTAGATGGAAAGATGCAGCATCTGGTCTGCATGTTGAATATGACCAGAGGCCAGATATATTCAGGTTTGTTCATTTGGAATGTAACTTAAATAATCTTGGGCATATAATTCAACAACCCTTTTGAATGTGGGCTCATATGTTTGCTTTGACAGGGGAACCATAAGATATGCAAGTGTGCATGCGCATTTGGGTCGGACGGGAAGTAGAAGAGATGACCTTGAGTCACTAGCATACACATTAATATTCCTGATAAAGGGAAGGTTACCGTGGCAAGGATATCAGGTTGGTTGTTATATGCTTTTGTAAGTTTTTGTAGATGCTTAATTTTGACTTACAAAATTTTATAATTGTCTTGTATTTGTTGTTTTGAATTGTGATAGGGTGACAACAAGAGTTTTCTTGTGTGCAAGAAAAAAATGGCCACTTCTCCAGAGTTGATGTGTTGTTTTTGTCCGGCCCCATTCAAGCAGTTCCTTGAGGCAGTGACAAATATGAAATTTGATGAGGAACCAAATTATGCCAAGCTTATCTCGTTCTTTGAGAGTCTTATTGAGCCAGTCACGTCACTACGACCAATAAGAATTGATGGAGCTCTTAAGGTTCCTATCCATATTCGTGCATGTATGTGTGGTGTTTGCATGACAATATTGCTCCCATACTCAGCTGTCACCTCTTGTCTAATCAGGTTGGGCAGAAGCGGGGAAGATTGCTAATAAACTTGGAGGAAGATGAGCAACCAAAGAAGAAAGTACGATTAGGTAGTCCTGCAACACAATGGATTTCTGTTTATAATGCACGACGTCCCATGAAGCAGAGGTATGTTGCTATTAATAAAAGTGTGATTATGAGTTTTGACATGTCCAGCTATTAATAAAAGTGTGATTATGAGGTTTGTTGTGTCTGGCCATTATTGTACTTCCTTAAAAAGGTACCGCAAGTGCTTGACTTTTATTTTGTCTTGGATCTTATCAAAAGTATCCATCGAACTCTAGACATCCAAATAAAGCCTTTTTAATGTTATAATTAGTTATGCATCTGAGATGCCATAAAATTACCGCTCTGACATTCCTATTTGGTGTGTTTCATAAATTTGGCTTGTATAGAAGTTCAAGTGGACTTGCTTGTTGCTTCATGTCATCTGTTCTTGTGTCCTTTCCCAATTGGACATACTATAGGTTTGAGAGATTACTTATTTTTAGGACAAGACTAGGTTTTTTGTTAAGGAGGACGACTAGTTTTACTAACGAAAATTGGATTTACTACTCACGTATACGGTATATAAAGCAGGAATCCAAGTAGGTTTGAGGATTTAACATTTAAGAGAGTATTTGATTTTATGATTCTTGGGTTGGCCGTTTTCGGATAATCTGGCATATGAGAACCTTTGAGAATCATTTCCATGCATTAATCACTGCATCTCTGTTAGTGGTCACTTTATTTTCTTCGAGTTTGAAGTGAAACTGATTTTCTCTTTAATACAGGTATCCTTTCTGTTTTGTTTGGATACATGCCTTTTGCTTTGGTTGATCGGGTCATATTTCATGTAGTCTTGATGACTTAATGTTTAGAACTTCCTTTTGCCTCATCTGAGAAAATTCGTGAGTTTATTATTCTTATTTTCGGGCAGTAAACTTCTGGGGTTGAGCAGGAAAAGTGATATGGCTAAGTTAATCTAAGCATAGGATTAACTTTCGAAAATTGGTAGGAAATGTAATTGTGTTACATTTGCATGGGTGTTTTAGGTACACGCCTGATTATGTTTACCTCCGTTTTATCCCTCATGGGGAGAGAAGGAAATCTAATGTCTGAATACCCTTGCATGCAATCTTTTTGGCGCACCTCTGAAAATCTTTGACTCCTATTTATCTACCTTCTATCTTTCAATGGATCATATTATAGAATCTGGTAAGACGGGCTACATTCTTGTATAAACTGTTTGACTTGGTAGGTTTACATGAGGACTTCAAGTGTTATCTCACTTTCTTTGCTTACATGAACTATTGACAAATTGAATGTCAAATGCATGGATATTCATGTTAAATTATCTTCTTAATGCATGTGATTTCTATATTAATGCCAGTTGCTGATAGAAAAGTATTAATGATGATCTTGTAGGTACCACTATAATGTAGCAGACTCTAGGCTCCGGCAGCATGTAGACAAGGGAAATGAGGACGGTCTTTACATCAGCTGTGTGGCCTCAGCAGCCAATCTGTGGGCCTTAATCATGGATGCAGGAACCGGTTTCTCTTCCCAGGTTTATGAGCTTTCAGCTGTCTTCCTCCATAAGGTTGTTATCATCTCAATCACCTTATCTCTATCATATTCAGTGATTATCTTTATCTCTTTCTTTTCGTGGGATATGCTCAAATAATTGTGATTTTTTTGTGTATTCTTTTCAGGATTGGATAATGGAACAGTGGGAAAAGAACTACTACATCAGCTCAATAGCTGGTGCAGCTAACGGAAGTTCCTTGGTCGTTATGTCGAAAGGTTAGATATTAATGGAAACTGATCTGATTGTTCACAATTTGAGGTGTTTACTGAAGGATCAACTGATGGACTTCTCCTTGTGATTGATATTGTTTCCATCTTGCTATTTTTGGTGGGAGATTTTCTTTATTAGTGAAAGAGTTTATGCTTTAACAAAACCAGCATATATATAATAATTAGATATGCGACATACTATGCAGTTATAAGAATATAGCTTGAAGTGCATATAGATCAAACACGGATCTTGTATTCATTACCAGTGATCCTAAGTAGTATTAATTTTAACAGATTAAGTTCAGTCTGATACTTATTTGAAATTCATGGAACCTGTACTTCAATGTTTCTTCACTTTGTTGCATTAAGCTTTCACAGATCTGGTCTTTAGTCAAATAAAAAAGGATGGAACAGAAAATAACACCTGTTTTAGAAGAGGTCCGGATTGATTTTCGCTGTTCAAGAGTGTGGTTATTCCTGCTTGTTGGTTTAAGCAGCTTTCGATACGAGAAACAGAAAGGTCGAAAGGGGACGGGCGTTGTGATACTAATGAGCAATGGGGATGTTCATGCGGTTCAGTCTAGATATCTTTAGCATGTGAAGTTTCCTGGTAAAAGAGTGACCAGGAGGTGAAGTGGGATGTTCATACAGTTCTAATACTGAAGAACAATAGGGATCTTAACAAAAACGTTGTCAAATGTAGAATTATGCCCCTTATAGGGTAGCCTGGAGCTTGATGATTAGCTCACGTCTTTGAGACCTTTTCCATACTTCAGCCATCTACGAAATGTTTCGAATGTGAGTTGCTGTTGGTAGAATTAAATACCAAGTAGCAATTTACCAAACTTTCCATTAGTTAGCTGCTGCAAAAGTAGGGCAAATTAGGCAAGGATGCATGGATTGGTGCATGTCATGAGTTCAGACCCTGTCACTGATACGAAGCTTGGTATTTAAGTGGGAGCAGGGTAGAGAGGTGGGTGCATACTCCTCCGAGTTTTGAACGTGTGAACACAAGTGGGGTTGGACCACCTAACTCATAGGGATTTCTTGGTTATAAAAAAAAGGAAAAAGTTTAAGACCTCAGGCTAATGGCATGCATAAGTATTTTAGTCGTGGCTGCCTCAGAACCTTTTGGTGTGGTCAAAGCAACTGGAGCTGAATTATTTACCTATTTTCACCACCTGCCTAGTGTGCTGACACTATCTCTTTGTTGGCCTTAGTGTGCTGCTTCTTTTGAAAACATTTCCTACCTTTTGGTTCTTTGATATGGTCTTTTACTTAGTCTGCTTTTTATTTACTTGTTTCAACTTTTGGCATGTAAATAAGATATAGATGGTTTAATTTCTGTTTTATTATGAGTAACCCAACTTTATGTATATGCGGTTAGCGAGCTGCATTTTGTTGCTCAGACTATCCGCTGCAGATTGCTTACCAGGAATGGACTTGCTGTGAATCAATTTGATTATGATTTATTTGTTAATGGTCCTATGAACAATCTATTAATTTCTCTTGGTGTTTGATGGATCAGGAACTCCATATACGCAACAGTCTTACAAAGTGAGTGAATCTTTCCCTTTCAAATGGATAAACAAAAAGTGGAAAGAAGGTTTCCATGTCACATCCATGACCACTGCTGGCAGTCGCTGGGGTGTGGTCATGTCCCGAAATTCTGGATATTCAGAACAGGTGATTAGTTTTTACCCAGTCGTTACTTCCATTTCTTACTTTCCTCAACAATAGTGGCTTAAAGCAGATAACCATGTAGGTTGTTGAGCTTGACTTCCTTTACCCAAGTGAAGGAATACATCGACGGTGGGAAAGTGGTTATAGAATAACTTCTATGGCTGCTACTGCCGATCAAGCAGCCTTCATATTGAGCGTACCAAGACGTAAAATGATTGATGAGACTCAAGAGACTTTACGGACATCTGCCTTCCCAAGTACCCATGTTAAGGTAACTAGTCTTTTCCTTCATCCTGAATGTTACCTGTTTGCCTTGCGTTTTCCTTAAATCTAACAGGTTCAAGGTGTGATGGGAATTTACAAACTACTCATTGTGATCCAGTTTCTATGATGTTTCCTTGACCGGAAATGGAATTTAAGTTGTTTTTGTTGCTTGGTTATTGTACTAGTCGTGGGAGAAAATATCAAAGTAATGGTTAAAAAGTTAGTTTGATAGAGAAATTATCACATCAAAGTTCTTAAAAATGAATTTGAATTCTTGAACGCTGTGAAAATTGTATGAAACAAATGTTTGTAATAATGAAGCTTCAGTTGACAGGAGTTGGCGGAATGCAATTTGCATATTTGTTATGCATTGTACTCTTTTAAATCTTTTCCCTTTGTAGTTTCAACATTGCATTCTCATTTTGCAGGAAAAATGGTCTAAAAATCTTTACATTGCATCAATCTGCTATGGTAGAACTGTCTGCTGACATGGACTGTCGAGTTGCTAATTATTGTAGTCTCTTGTAATTGATGAGAGATGGAGGATGAATTCAGCTGGTCCTGCTGGGGATTGCCTTGTCAAGTCAGTCCTCATTTTTTCTTCATGTAAAAATCATTGTGTTGTACAACTGTACGGATGAGCTAGGGCCCTGCAAGCTTGGGCTAGTAACACCAATTGCGTCAACAACATAATATTTTAGTTTTGGCAATGAAGGCTAAGAAATGGTGGATTGATTAACATATTTGTACCTTAAAATTGGAAGGGTGTATTTATTCCATAATCTATCCATTCTTGCTGCATGTTAGGCTTTTCTATGGGAGAAATCAAAAGAGATGTCCTGCCCTTGCTCCTCCCCCCGCGGCACCCCGACCTTTTTTAACCTTTTGACTGCAATAAGGTGGCCAATTTCATTATTCCCAGTGACCCCGATCTTTTGACGTAACTGGTTATTCCTTACATTGGCATGGTAACAAGCTTCCTGGAGCTATTCCTGTAATAGGATAACCTTTGGTCGAATTATTGCACCAAGGAACAATCTATAGTTTAGACACTTTTGTATTGCCGCCATTTATCTATGCATGCACTTACCAATGAATACCTAAACAAGGTAAGTCGTAGTTTAGAAAAGGCAATGTATTTGATGTTGTAAAAAATAATTTATACTATTAGTAATTAGTTACAGATAAATCTCTATGTTAAACATTAAGTAGTAATAATCTAATAAACACGTTAACTTATTTGGAACAATAGGTTAAATCTACGGAGTTGGTCTAGAAAATCTTGAACACTACCCGTGTGTGTGTGTGTGTGTATATATGTATATATATATATATTTTAGATCTCATTGCATATTTATGTTATACAGAAGTATGATGACTCTTGACTAATGTACTATTTCCTCTCCTCTTGCTGTAGTGATGAAGGTGTTGCCCTTTGATATTTCAGTCTCTTTCAATGGCTAGATTTTATTGCATGGAATTAAAAAAAAAAATATTATAATCCGACTCTACGATATAGTTCTTTAAGAATTTTCGGTGAATGATAGCCATGCATGAATCCTGGAGTAGCTGCATATTATTAGTTCAAAGCGTCATAAACACAACTATTGTTAAAGTCATTAGCATATTAAATTGTAGTGGGGACAGTAAATATAGAATACTAACATAATTAGATCAATAAATAAGATGTAACCTAGTCATTGCTGTAAAAATTGCACGGGGCGCCCTATTTGGGCCGTCCTTTTTAACCTGTAGCCGCTTTGTTTTTCTGTTTGCACCCGTACCCGTTTTTTTGTTAAAAGCATTTTAAGAAGACTATTTTGCCCTTCTTTATTAAAAGACTACTTTCTCTTTAAGTATACGCTAGTCCTCTACTGTCTCTGTCTCTGTCTCTCTCTCCCGTTATTCGCGTTTTTTGATTTGTTCTTCTCTGAAATCAAACGGTTTTCGTCGTTTTTTTGATTTTTCAACTGCTAGTCGTCGTTGTTCCCACATTACGATTTTACCACAGGTACATTGCATTAACTTTCTGGGTTTTATTTTACGATTTAATTTCTGGTTTTGGTTTTGATAGTCATGTATTTATGATAAAATAGTTTCTTAGGGTTTAGTTTGATAAGTGCATTAGTTTTACTTTTACGATTGTGTTTTTAGGTTTTTTGACCGAGTGTTTGTGTTGTTGATGAACATTCTATAAATTTTCCAGTGATTAGACGTCGAAATTTTTACAATTTTTGAGAGTTAAATAGATGATATTATTAAATTGTGAAGTTTATAATAGTTCAATGATACCTTAGATAGGAGGTGAAGTTTTTTTTTCGTGTTTTGGCATTATTTTTGGATTTGAATTTGTGTTTTTTCTTTTTTTTGTAAAAACTACAGCATGTTTTTTTGCTGAATGTTTTGTGTTTGTAACTAGTGAACTTCAGCTTTAGGAGATGAAGGTTTTGTTTTTTGTAACTGGTGAACTTCAGCTCTAGAGCTGAAGTTTTTGTTTTGTAACTGTCGAACAACTTTAGGAGATGAAGGTTTTGTTTTTTGTAATTGGTGAACTTTTTGTTTTGTAACTGTCGAACTTCAGCTTTAGGAGCTGAAGGTTTTATTTTTTGTAACTGGTGAGTTTTTGTTTTGTAACTGTCGAACTTCAGCTTTAGGAGCTAAAGTTTTTGTTTTTGTAACTGGTCTAGAGCTAAAGTTTTTGTTTTGTAATTGTCGAACTTCAGCTTTAGGAGCTGAAGTTTTTGTTTTGTAACTGTCGAACTTCAGCTTTAGGAGCTGAAGTTTTTGTTGTGTAACTGTCGAACTTCAGCTCTAGAGCTGAAGTTTTTATTTTGTAATTGTCGAACTTCAGCCTTCTTAGAGATTGAATTTTTAACTGATCTTTTTGATAATATCCCGATGTTATTTTTTGTATCTTTTACTTTTTTTGAACAGATGGCACCTAAAGCACCTAAAGATCCTAATGCAGCTAAAGTACGCAAAGCAGCAAAAGCACCTAAAACACCTAAAGCACCTAGACAACCTATAATACCCCCAGGTCTTTATGTCCCTGCTCCTCCACCTACAAGACCAGGGCAAAGATATTTTGAGTTTCGAGATTGGTTTAACTGTAAGGCTTACTGGAAGGGGAACCACGACTTGAAGAGTTTAATTGCAAATTTCTTGACTCCTACGCAACGGGATAAGCTTAATAATGGTACATTTCGATACATTATGGCTATGGAGAATTTCAAATGCAGCATGAAGTTGATTCATTGTCTGTGTCTTTCTCGAATATTCACCAATGATCGAGACTCGATTAGTTTCAAGATTTTTGGCCATGATGTTTCCTTCACCCTTGAAGACTTTCACATTATGTGCGGTTTGCGGATCACAGCACATAATGTTGAAAAACCAATTAATCGAGAAAGCAATATTCTGAAGCGCTATTTTGGTAAGTCCAAGGGTGTGACTTTGAAGGATATTTGAGATTTTATGACTCGAAATGAAATTCCAAAGAATGCTGTGAATCACAGGCACGTATGCGAGAGTGGTGATGATGCTGTGAAGCTTATGGAGATTCTTATTGTAGAGTCTATTTTGTTTGGGAAAAAGACCGAGTCATCTGTGATGGAGGAGTATGTATCTATTGTTGAAGATGATAAGGTTTGTGCTGAATATCCTTGGGGTAATGTGGCTTATGAGAAGCTCATTTACTCACTGAAACATGCATTGGACAAGCAGAACAAATTACATTCAACTGAGTATAAAGTTGGTGGATTTCCATATCCGTTATGTGCTTGGTTCTATGAGTGCTTCCCAGATATTCGGGAGAAGTATATAAGAGAGGATGAGTACCTTGATACCCCTCAGGTTCCCAGGATGTTACGTTATGTATGTATGGGAGAGCCTAAATGTCCCGAACTTTTTGATTTCTTCAGTAGTCATGAAGTAAGTTATTTTTTTTTGTTTTTTTTGTCTTTGTGTTTATATGTTGACGTATTAGTTTTTTTCCTCTCATAATATACTTTTTTGTATTAAACAGAAGTATCGAAACTTTAGGGTATTGGACATAATTCCTACAGAAGAAGAATTGAATTCAATGCCTTTAATTGGACAATTACCATACAGCCGGATTCGTTCAAAGGTAGTTAATGCGGTTCCTTCAACTGGTGAATCACCACGTAGTCTGAGTCGATCAAAAGAAGAGAATCGAACTTCTGTTATTGGCCAATCACCACGTAGTCAGAGTCGATCAAAAGAAGCGAATCGAAATCCTTGTATTGGTGAATCATCTCGTACCCAGAGTCGTTCTAACCGTTCTACAACTAAGTTTGATGACAATGAAATACTCGACACAATATGTTCTGTAAGTTTTGATGTGAAGTTTTTTGGTTTTGTTTTTGTAAAAGTACAACATGTTTTTGAGCTGAAGTTTTCTTCTATATCTGAATTTTTGTTGTGTGTCTATACTAGAGGGTAACGATGGAGGTTCAAAGGCATGCAGAAAAAGAAAGAAGCACGATCGTGAAAGAAGTTTTCTGTCATGACCCAATTCCCCAAAACCCGGTCGTGATGGCGCCTCTCGTGAAGACAAGGCCAGCCAACAGAACAACAACGCCTCTTTTAACAGTTACTTAGCATGAATAAGTCTGAATCATAGATAATGAAATCATATTGCGGAATAAACATGATAAAAATAGAGAACCCATCCCGACTCAGCCCGAAATCGGGGTGTCACAAGTCACGAGCATCTAGAAGGATCTTTGATACAACTACAAAGCCTCTAATACATAGAATACAATCTGGAATCAAAAGGAAGAAATCCGGTGTCGCGAACGCTGGCGGTCACCTTGCTCAGCTACGATAGCAAATCCTCAACCAGCTCAAACCCGCTACCGGGTAAACCAATACCTGCATCTGCACGCGAGGTGCAGGGAGTAAAGTGAGTACTCCAACTCAGTGTGTAATAAAGGTAAATAATAACTGAGCAGCAAGAACCACGTAAAGCAAGCCATAATGCTATATAGAACAGTGTAACCCTTTGAGAAAACAATGAAACCGTATAATCTTTAGAAATATCTGGGCTCAGTTTAAAAACCTCTTTCGAAAATGTCTTTTTCCAATAGTTAAGCAAATGAATGCGAAACAGATAGTGCAAGACAGCACATAAGTCAGCCCCTCGGGCACANGAGTTTGCAACACAGTATTAAAACCCTGGACCGAGATCAAATAATATGCAAAGTAATGCGAAAACAGTGATATCAATCCCTGAAGGATTCACATAGTTGGCACGAAGCCCAAGCATGGCAATCAGCCCAAATTATGATGATAACAAGTAGTTTCAGTCAAATACGTAGTAATTTCATCAATCGGGATGGACCAAGTCACAATCCCCAACGGTGCTCTAACCCACGCTCGCTATCCGGCGTGCAAGTCACCTCAATACAGCACTATGATGTGCACATCCGGGGTTTCAAACCCTCAGACTATCATTTACAATCATTACTCACCTCGAACCGGTGAAATCTCTAGCTCGCGACGCCTTTGCCCCTCAACTCGGCCTCCACGCGCGTCGAATCTAACCAAAATCAGAGTGAATACATCACCATATGCTAAGGGAACAATACCCAATCGAAAACAATCGAAAAATATCAAAAATCTCGAAACTAGCAAAACCCGAGCCCCGGGCCCACTTCGCGAAAAATCAAAAAATTTAACATTAATGGATTCCTCATCTTCTCACGAGTTCATACATACTAAGAACTCTCAAATCCGAGCTCAAATGACCCATCAAATCCCAATTTGAAATATCAAAAACTCAAGCCCTAG